GGCGATTCTTGATGAATTGTTGCAGCATTTTCAAAGACTGTATCAATCTGATCACCCTCCACATGATAACACATGTTTGATTCGCATCCAGAAATCCATCACTGATAATATGAATCTTGAACTCACAAGAGAAGTGGATGAAAAGGAGATCAAAGCTGCTCTTTGGGACATGGAACCTTCTAAGGCTCCAGGTATTGATGGCTTTTCTCCTAAATATTTTCAAGCCTCTTGGAATCTGATTAAAGCTGATTTATTTCTAGCCATTTCAAATTTTTTCCAAAAAGGAAAAATCCCCAAGGCAAATAATCATACTATAATCACTCTCATCCCCAAGTCCAAATCTCCCCAGTCTATTAATGACTATAGGCCCATTAGTCTGTGTTTTGTTCTCTATAGGCTTATTTCCAAGATTTTAGCTAATAGACTCAAAAATGTCCTTTCTGCCTGTATATCCCCTGCCCAAGCTGCTTTTGTCCCAGGTAGGCAAATTACTGATAATGTTATTATTGCTAATGAGTGCGTTCATTTTCTTAATAGTAAAAAAAGGTGGAAAAAACACTTCATGGCCTTAAAGCTTGATATGGCCAAAACTTTTGATCGGGTAGAATGGGATTTTCTCATTAGGGTTTGTATTGCCATGGGGTTTTGTCCTCAGTTTCTCAGATGGATTTGGATCTGCATTTCTTCCTCTTTTTTTTCCTTTAATTTGGGCGGTCAGCCCAAAGGTTTTTTCCAGCCTTCTAGGGGTCTCCGACAAGGAGATCCTCTATCTCCATATTTATTTATTATTGTATCTGAAGCTTTTTCTAACCTTATTAAGCAAGCTTGTCTTTCTTCTTCCTTCCAGGGGCTGCAAATTAGTAAATATTCCCCTCCCATTACTCATCTATTTTTTGCCGATGATTCTCTCATCTTTTGTAAAGCCTCTTATGATCAAGTTTGCTCTTTTGTCAATCTTTTGAATAATTTTTGCTATGCTTCCGGGCAGCTGGTAAATATTAATAAATCTAGTATCTTTTTTTCTAAAAACACTCTCGACTCTCTTAAGTCTCAAATCTGTCAGAAGCTTAGAGGGATCTCTGTGGTAAACTCTTCAAAGTATTTAGGGCTCCCTCTTGGAATTGGGATTTCCAAAAGAGACACTTTCAAATTTGTGAGTGAGTGTGTTACTTCTAGAATCAGAAATTGGAAAAATAAGTTTTTGAGCGAAGCAGGAAAAGAAATTTTAATTAAAACTGTTCTTCATGCTCTGCCTGTATATGTTATGTCCTGTTTTAGGATTCCCATTGGTATCTGTGCTGATATTTGCAAGGCTGTAGCTAATTTCTGGTGGGGGCAGACTGATGAAGGTAAAAATAGGATTCATTGGGCAAAATGGGAAACTATATCTCAGCCAAAGGAAGTGGGAGGCCTGGGGTTCAAAAACCTCACTGTGTTTAATGAAGCACTCCTTGTAAAACAGCTATGGAGAGTCCTAACTCAGCCTAATTTGCTAATGAGTCAACTTATCAGAGGGAGATACTTTCACAAGCAGGATATTTTTGAGGTCTCTTCAAGAAGTTCCGACTCTTGGCTATGGAAATCTTGGTTAGGGGCTAGGAAATCTTTAAAGTTGGGCATGAGACATCAAGTAGGCAATGGCAGATCTATTTCCATTTGGAACTCTCCATGGGTTCCAGATGCTACTGATTTTATTCCTAAATGCTGCTTTGCTTCGGATAAAGAAAATCTTGTATTTGTCTCAGACTTAATGACTGCAGGGGGCACACAATGGGATGAGGATCTCATAAGGCAGACTTTTGTTCCAACTGAAGCTCACAGCATCCTCAAAATCCCAATCAGTAGAAGGGGCATCAATGATAAATTGGTGTGGCATTGGAACTCAAAAGGTATATTCAGGGTGCAAGATGTGTACAAGGCCATTTTATCCAAAAGAAATCATAATCAGGTGCTTGACACATCCTCTGCTGAATCCAGTGTGGGTAGAACCAGAAGAAAACAGGTATGGCAGCTTACTTGGCATCTCCCAATCCAGAACAAAATCAAAATTTTTTTGTGGAGATGTTGGTATGGCTTTCTGAGCTACAAAGTTAAATTAAAATCCAAAGGGCTTTGTGAGGATACCATTTGTGAAGTGTGTGGAGAATCTGAGGAAACATTAGAACATATTCTCTTCCTCTGCAATAGAGCCAAAAGAACATGGAAGCTTGCTGGACTGCATTGGAATCTTTTGCAGGAAGAGAATATATCCTTTCAATGTTGGTGGGAGCATTTGTGTACTATGAAGGGAGCTGATTCCTGGGAAGATAGAGTTTCCTTATCCACCTACATTATGTGGTGGCTTTGGAAAACTCGCAACTCATGGATATTTCAAAAAATAAACACCCCAGAGATCCAAGTGGTTCAGCAAGCCAAAGCAGCATGGATTGAATTCTCATACCTTGGTAATGGAGCTTCCCAGGCCAAGTAGATTGATTATGGCTTTCTTCAACTGTCTAGGAAGAGAAAGGAGTAGGGCATTCTCGTTGACTGCCAGTGCTAATTACTCTTCTGTAGACTAGCTCGAGCTTGCATTTGACTGGTGGCTGGGAGCATTTGTTTTTCAGCATGATTAATCTTTCACCATTTGTTAGTATTTGTTTGCTGTTTGCTTTGCTGCTTGTGTATCTTTGGGCTTATTGTTTGTTCCCCTTTGTTGCTCTTTTGTCTTGTTATTTTATGTCTGTTTTCGAGTTTTTAGGTCCTTGGCCCAATGGTGGTCGTCTAGGGAGGCATTATGGCTTGATGTCGTCTCTGTTTGTATCTGTTTTCTAGCCCGTTGGCTTGTCGAACTCTGTAATCTTGAGACTTTTATTAATGCATTTGATGTTTGGAAAAAAAAAAAAAAAAAAATGTGTTAGAAAATAAAGTATAAAATAATAATATAACACAGAGCTCCATTCAAATAATAATTCAATCAGAAAATATAGGCATGCAATTAATTAAAGGTATAAACGTCAGTGTTTTAAATAGCGCAATTTTGCGCGCTACGTAGCGCGCTATAGCGCATTTTCACCAAAAAACACGACATAGCGTATATAATTTCACGCAGTTCCAGAAAAGCGCACGCAATTTATGCTATATTTTGCGCTATTTACGCAATTTACGGTATATTTTGCGCTATTTCTCACGCTATTTGGGCAATCCTTATTTATAGGCAAAAAATAAAAAATAAAATAATAAATACTAAAAAAAAACGTAGGGCACAAAATTGAGTAAGTTCTCCTATGGCGAATTTGAGTGATTATTAGATCATGTTTCGTATTTATCTTGAAAAAAAAAATTATTTGAAAAATTGATATCAATATAGTTATAATTAGACGTGGCCAGGTGCCGGTTTCGGGCCCGGCCCGGCCCGGCCCGCCGGGCCACGGGCCCTCAAACAGTCGAACCGCAACCGGCCCGCTAGGAACGAAGGGCCGGT